ATGATTCTATGATTCTATGATTAAATCTGCAACACTGCCACAAAAATAAAACTAAGAAAAGCTTGAAGTGAGGTTTCCTCCCTGGCTTTTGGATACATTTAAAAAGAAGAATTTATAAACCCCACTTTTTTTTTTTAAGGGAAGGGAAGAGTTTAATTTTTTCCCTAATGTTTCAGTTTGGGATGGGATCTATGTATCTTGATTTTTATCATGTCAGAACTGGCAGGTAGCACCCCTGAGTCATCCAGGGACCACAGTCAGTGGAGAACATTAGCCCTCCAGAGACCAATTAATTCCGTCTGTCTTAGTTACTGACCTTAGGTTGGAATAAATCTCACTCTCAGACACCTCTCTGTTTCCTTTGATAATAAGAAAGCCTAAACAAGGAGCGCAGGCTAAGCACTTAATTGTTTGACACTTAACGTTATGTGATATGAATATCACTCACAGCATTTCATCACTGAAATCAATCATTGTGGTGTAGAACCCAGGGATCTGGGATTCAGCCACAGAACAGATATTTTCCATAAAGGACTTCCTAAACTTAGTTCTTTTCAGCGGTTTCTTAAATTAAGGGAAGATTGGTATATAAACAATACTAAGAATGACATAAGAAACAAAGCTACTAAAAAAAGATATTTATGATTTGGGCAGATATGATTGAAGAGGACCAGGAAGGCAGCCTGCCCCTTACACCCCAGCATGGGCATGCGAGTCCGTGTAGGGTATGCCATAGCAGGATTTAGCTTTTGGGTATAAACATACTTGGACATGATTAAAGAAAATCCTGAATTATGTCATAAGAGTGTAGATTCTGCCATTTGCTGATAAAGAATTCAATACTTGCACGAGATCTTTTAAAAAAAAAATAAATTAAAAAATTGATTTACAGATGGACTTGAGCACTCAGCTCCACTAATTCAAGCAGGTAAGCCATAAGCCTTACTGATTATTTACATTCAAATCCCAAGATGTGAAGAAACATAGCTGCCTGTATTATGTTTACTGCAAAGATATTCCTTGTCACATTGCCACAGGAAAAGGTCAAGTGATGCTGTATGCAAAGCACACAAAATGTGAAAATACGGACAGCGGCTCAAAGGTGAAAGGCAAAAGAGGCTTTTGCAGGCTATAACACACATGGTTAACTCTTCCACCTGTGTTTAGGGAAAGTATCTTTTGTTGACAAAACAGCAATTAAGTAGATTCTACCATTCACAGGATAAAGAGGAGAAAATATTGGAAAACTCACCACTAAATTTCCTATCACCATGACCAGCAGAAAGACAAGAAGGCACAGCGGTCGTTCAGCGACCACCATGCACTCCCACATGGTCTCAATCCATTCTCCACATAGAATTCGGAAAATGACAAGAAAGGAGTGGAAAAAGTCCATCATGTGCCAGCGTGGCTTGCAATTTTTATGTATTTTACAGCTGTTCTCCCCATAGCTTCTCCCAAAAAGTTGCATCCCTACTATAGCAAAAATGAAAACGATGATTGCCAGGACGAGGGTCAGATTACTCAGTGCTCCCAGGGAGTTACCAATGATTTTAATTAGAGTGTTTAAAGTTGGCCAGGACTTTGCCAGTTTGAAGACCCTTAGCTGTGTAGAAACATAAAACATAGTGTTAGACATCGGTAGAGATAACCCATCTTTGCATCATTCAAATCCTGCAAAAAATATTTTACAGATATTCTGAACTATTCCAGCAATGTAATATTTGTGGCACTGTGACACTAATATTTTTTTAAAAGTATTTGCAGATTTTTTTTTTTTTTTTTTTTTTTTTTTTTAAAAAATTTTTGAATTTTTTTTTTTTTTTTTTTTTTTTTTTTTTTTTAACTGGGAAACACTGCAAACATAAAATAAGTGCCTCGTAAAGGACCAGGCTAACACAAGGCCCTGGTAAGTGTTTGGCCCACACAGGCAGGTATCCATACAATGCACTTAATGTAGACTATGGTGCTTAACTTACATGTAACACAAAGGAGAAAAGTTGGAAGACTGGTGCTATATCACTATAAAAGGAGTCTATCTTTTGGTAAAGCAACCTAAATTGGTCCACAGTATATGATACGACTACCTTAACATCATTTCATGTCTATTTTTAAGTATTGGTTTTTCTGTATTTGTACTCTGACACTTTTTTTCCTAAGTTTCCTGTGCTAGTTTTTAATTTTTGACACTAGTTTTTATAACGTCTACTCTACAATATTTCTTCCTCTGAATATTTCTTAGTGTATTCAAAAGAAATATATATGTCATTAAACTCTGACTCTAACATCACAACGAGTTTAAGACTGTGTTTCTTATTTCTAGTGCCGAGAGGAGGAAAAAAAAATTTAAAAAAATAATCAGTTCCTGCATCCTAAGTGCGGACAACAGAATTATTCTCTATTATATTCACAACATGATGTTTTATACAACTGAGTAAGCATGAGGTATTACCAGTCTGAAGGATCGTAAAACCGACAGGGTTCCTCCTTTTCGCCTTTCTTTCTTGCCTTTGTGTTTGGGTAAACTCAGTTCAATTAAACTCAATGTGACAATTATACTGTCAAAAATATTCCAGCGCTGCTGAAAATAATAATAGGGATCTAGAGCAATGATTTTTAAGATCATTTCAGCAGTAAAGATTCCTGTAAAAACCTGTGACAAAGAAACAGCAGCATCAGCCTAAAAGTAGCCATGAATTTATCTTATCTTTAGATCATCTTCCCACAAATAACATTCACGGACAGGTCAACAAAACCCGTTTTTATGAACTTCTAATTCACTTTCAATTAAAATGGAAGGATTGTTTTTTGCCTTCTCAGGAGTGTGTTACAAATGTATCAATGAAATCTGGCAATTGTCTATATTAGAAATTTAGAGTTTATAAATGCAGAGTTTGCTCATCTTCAATTTTTACAGTTACTCTTTATGTCTCAAGTGAAAACACCCATCAATCAATCCTTGGTATAAAACATCACATATTTGAGAATTTGCTTACCAAGTTGCCTACATTAAGCATTGACTTAAAGTTATCTGACATATTATTGTGCTCCAGTGCCATGAACAAAGTGTTCATCACAATGCAAACAGTGATGGTGAGATCAATAAAAGGATCCTTTATGAAAGCAGCCACTTTCTTCTTGATTCTCAACCAAAGTGGACAACAGTCCCAAATTAGATACTTTAAAGCAAAATCATTCAGGCACGGTGGGCATCTCCGCTGGGATTCTTCAAGTTCTAAATGCAAAAGAAAACCCCACTATAATTAAATAGTTATCACTGAGCAAGATGGTGAAATAACAACTTCAAGTATTCAAAAGACCAAAGAAAAAGGAAACCTCACATCTCACACAGAGCCCCAAAGCTTCCCCGCACTTTCTACCATTCATGTAGTCCCTACATCAGCTAAAAACCGTGAAGATAAAATTCAGAGAAAATTGGATCCAAATTTCATTCATGTGAACTTACTTCAAAAGCCCTTGGGTCAGGTTTTATTTGTCTTAGACTCAGACTTGTACTACAGCCATCTGACTAAACACAGATGTTTACAAGGCAGAGGCCCCACCGCAGCCTCTCACACTCCTGTAGGTCAGTATAGCCACTAAGGCACTTTTCACCTTATCCTTACGCAGATGTCTAGGACACTGGCTCTATCACACCCAACATCTTTTTGTCTCCTTTGGCTCTCAAAGCAACAGGCAGCCACAGGAATTCTGACTGTAGGTGGGGCAGATCCCAACTACGGTGCCTGAAATTTGGCCTTAGGCCACTTCTACTGGAAAGATCATGCCTACTATTTCCCAGCTGACGCAAGTTGCCACACCTCTCCATTTTCTAGAAGTAAAACATGGGATAGAGCTGTTCTGGCTTTGCCATTTACATCCTTTTGGTCAAATATAAATCTCACAGCCTTTCTTTCTTCACCATCAATATTAACGAGTCCTCCAAAATACTTTTGACCCTGCTGAAGTCCTGTGCAAATTCATTGACAAACTGGAGCTTACGTGAAGCTAAATACAAGCACAGTAAGAATTATTAGTAATCTGGTTTTCAGGGACCTGGAAATTTTTCAGAGATCAGATGAGCTGGACTCATATCCTTTTCTTAGTTGGATCTGTCCTTCTTTCTTCCCACTGTTTAGTTTTCAGTTCTTCTCCTCCAGGCTCAAGTCTCAGATTCCACCCTACGCTGTTTGTTCCAGTGTGATCACCTTGACTTAACCCCACTCCAGGTCTAGCTCTTGTCTTCTGTTCTTCTAGATCAAATGGCTGCTCCTTTATGTACACAGTGTGAATCCAGCAGAACTGGTGTTCACGTTCCAGCAAAGACCCTTTCTGCTCCCCTTTCTGATGCCTGTTCTCAGGTTAGTCCACAGCCACTTAGAGCTACAAGTCCTGTTCCATCCCAGTTCACAGCTGAAAGTGTGCAACAAACCCCAGATCTTTGGTGAATTACACTGCAAAGCAAGGCTCCACCGGATGCACTGCAACTGTGATTCTCCCAAGAAAAATTAAAAAAAAAAAAAAAATTAAAAAATGGACCTCCCTGCTACAACAGTACTTGCTAAATCTCATACTTGTAGTCCAAGAACTGGTGACAGAGCTCCTCAACAGGGACAAAACGAAACGAAACAAGACTGCCTCATCTGAACAACTTGGGCTGAAATTTTTCAGTAAGATCTGCAACAAAACTATCAGTCGTCAAAATAACTGTCAGTGATAACCCCCCCCCCCTCCAAAATTCACATGGAAAGGTAAGTTAAAGGAATAAAATAGTGAGGTTAAGTATTTAAAACCCAGGAATTGCCACAACTGATTTTGCTTGCATAATCTTATTGTTGGATCCTGCATGCCTATGTCTCTGCCAGTGACATACCACAAGTCGCAGGGTCAGGAGGAGAAAACAGTATCCCAGTCCCACACCTCAGATGCTAGAGAAACTCCTTCCGCCCACTCATTCCAATCCCCTTCGCTGTCTGTCCTACGAAACGAGATCTTGCAATAGGCAAAGGATGTGTTCCAGTACATAAAGACTGTGTGATAATGCATTTTTTTTAAAAAAGAGCCAAATTAACGATGAAATTGCTAACTACACATCTACAAATCTCTGTTAACCTTTAAGAAATGTATTGACATTTTGGTCTTTCATGCTAGCATTACCTTAGGATTGAAATAAGCATAATGAGGAACCACTTACCCTCCAAGACACTGGTAATTACGCTGACTGCACTTGCTGCCCTTTGTCTCTGAAGTGCCTCGTTAAAGTACTCCACTGACAGATGAGGAGGCAAATGCATCATGCTGCTCTCATCATTTACAGCTGGCTGCTTAAAGAAGTAAACATGATTAGGGAGATACCACAGGAATAAAATGAAGTAGGATGTGATGATGGGTAACTATGAAAGTTAATAGGAACAATGACAGGCAGCCAAATAAATGTACCTTTCTACAAGATGCAATAGATGTTGAGAACGCAGGTCCTACTCTTCAGTAATAATGCTGCAGTAAATGGATCCTGCAAGCATGTAATAGCAACAGGGCAAGCACAGACCTTGGAAATAAGTGTATGAGGGGAAACAGGCCTAGGAAATATTCCAGAGACTAATGGAAACGGAGGGAGATGAGGGATAAACTGGCAGAAAAGCGTCTCTACCTGCTTGGGGAACTTACAGACAAAACTTCTGCATGATGCTAAAGGTGCTACGAAGGAGAAAGAAATTATAGGTACTGCTCAAAATTACCTCCCTGGACAGGGCATGAGATAAAAAGACTCTCTCGTGACTTATAATTCCAGCACTAGGAACTTTCAAAAGTATGTTAGTACAAGTTGTGCATAGCAGAAAAACAGGGTTTATAACAGGAATGCTGAAGCAATGAACTCCAGTTTTCAGGAATTCATCAGAGTATTAAAAAACACTTTCTAAACAACTAACTCCCCACATCAGTATACTTCATTTCACACCACTGTTTGCCATTTCGCTGAAACTCTTAGCAGAAGAAAAACCTGCCACTTATGGAGAAACCATAATATGAAGGATATACTTCCAATAATCTCTTTTACTTACCAGATCACCCTTTCCTGGGTCTTCCATCACTGGTGGAAGCATTACTCCTTCAGAAGACACTGGATCTAGACTGTGTACCCTGCTGCTTCCTCCTCCCATCACCAAAGCCACCCCGTTGCAGTCGTCCGCGTTAGCCCACTTGCTGCTCTGCACGCAGTTGGGGGTAGCGGGGCGAGAGCTGTGGCTCATTTGACTTTGCACGCTGGAGCGTCTTCCCATCTGCGTGACCGACAGGGACCGACACTGGATTTCGTGTTCCCCGGGACTGCGGGTCTCCTCATCACCAAGATCCGCTCTGGAACCAACTTCTAAAGCAGGTATTTGGAAATTGAACACGTTCCCATGGCTAAGTCTGTGTTTCACCTGATTTGCGTTGGAACCGTACACCAGACCAAGGAAAGACTAAAAGCCCAGGAAAAGGAATAAAGAGAGAATGGCATAATATCATAAAGAAGATTTTGGGAAACCATAAATGTTTAGAGTTTCATAAAATTTCCTATCAACCATACCAAGTCCAAACCTCTTATTTAATTTAGATTTTTCAGGAAGGATTTTACTCAGATTTTAAAAGGCAGATAATAAAATCCTACCAGCTGTAGTAGCTATTTTTGTGATAAGCTTTATATTTATATTTTAAGTAAGATTTTTTTAACAAAGAATGATGGCACAAAAGTTGAATTCTGATAGTCATTCACTTTTTTCTATTCCTCAGTGTTACAGAAAATGTATTGTAATTATTATAACTTTCCTTCCGTCCTTTGTTTATAATATTTCCTTTTCAAATGAAATTTTACATATAATTCTTCCTTATCCCAAAAGGTTGTTAAAATGAAGACTTAAGAGTGATCAGTGTTTGTAATACGATTTGGTTTGTGCTTTCAAGCAATTTATTTTATTATTAAAATTGGAAAAGCTGTAAGGATCTCAGATTCAGACAATAGATTACCAACTTTCGTTGATTATCAGTGCACTGTGACTTGGGGAATTGTTGTTCTTCTTCATTATCTTCTATCCCCAAGGACTTATTTCTCTTTTTCCTATTGCTTCTTTCTTTGATTTCTTTGGTAGACAGAGAAGAGGCTTCAAAAGAGCTAATTGACAGGATATCAATTCCTTTAACAGCCAATGACTGAAATTAAAATAAAAACATGGATGATATTTTTGCTGGGTACTTTCAATATAAGCAGAAAGAAAACACTAGTTTATTTCCTCTTAACAATTTGTGTTTGACAAAAATCATTAAAAGTCTTCCAATGTGTTATAACACTAAAAGAAAGAGGAGAGAATTTCCCCAACATATGGAGCACTGAACAATTTGCTATGTTACATGATCTCATGTATTGGGCCTGCCAGGGGCAAAATAATCACATTATAGCTCCTATTCCTCCATATGGCAGATTTGCTTACAATAAAAATACTCAGTTTGAAAATAATACTGTAGAATATATCCTTTTCCCCAAATAAATGCTCAAACAGTATTAAAACTCTGTCTTTTCATTGGGGATCCTTGGGACTGTATTCACATTGTGGCTGACTTTCCTTCCCATACTGAATTTAGGACAATATTTTCAAAACACAGGGATATTTTGTTCCAGAAGCTTCTAAGGCACTTAAGTTACCAGGAGGCTTTTCATTCAACTACAATAGGTTTTGGCTCAGTTGTTAGTGCAGTTGATCAATGGAATTACTGTATATTTCTCTGCTCAGCAGTCCACAATGATAAAATAGAAGAAAAATTTAAAACCGACTACATTTTCTTTTGGAAACTGCTAGCTGATGGAATTTTACATTTTGCAGATTTAAAAATACTATTTTTCTTACAGGAACAGCAGCCTTTAATGCTCATTATGCACAACAAAATTCATTGTTTCACAGGAAAAATACACAGCTGAGCAAGGAATTGCTCCTGTAGCTCTAGGAATCACTACTTTCAATAAGTTATCACTTGCTCCTGTTCCCGCGAGTGACTACTAGGTACAGCTGTATAGGAGTGATGCTTTTTCTTATGTGACTGACAACAGAGCACTGAGACTAATGCTTGCAAGGGAATAATTTACATACCTCCTGCTCCTTCTGTAATAATTCCATGGCTTCCCAAAATTTCCTTTCCTTTGCCTCCGTTTCAGCAATGGTGGCCTTGTTCTGGTCTTCGTATGCCATTGTTACTACAGCCAGAATCAAGTTGACTAGATAAAATGAGCCCAGAAAGATGACCAGCATGAAGAAGAGTATATACACCTTCCCAGAAGCTCTGAGGGTCTGTAAGCAACGCACCCCAGAGACAAAAATTACCATAAAAAATACCAAACAGGCTTTCAATGTGTCTCTGAAATCTTTAGAAGCCCTCCGCTTCCTAGACACAATGCTTTAGGAAGCTTAAATGGCAATATATCTTCGTTGGCCCTTCTTCCCCCTCTTTCTCCTTCTTCCTATACCATCGCCTATGAATCACTGAGTGTACACACCATGAGGGCGATGGAGGGGGGCATTCTTGTATTTTTGAAGGACAATACAGGACCCTTTTAGTACTTTTTTTTAAGTCCCTAAACCAGTAGGGTAATAGGGATATTGCTGGGAAGAGCTTCAGCATCCCTTTTCGAGGAGTCACAGCTTGCTGGAAGGGAGAAGGGAGGATCTAGGCTCGGTGACTTGCAGCTATTGTTTTTATTTGAGATTTTTTTCTCCTCTACACATTTTCTGCTTCAGTTATTGCTCTCCCTGGAAGACTGGTTCTGAACTATGTGCAAAGCTGGTACCTGCTGGTACAGACGCTCCCAGTAGTCCTGGGTCATCAGGCGGAATAAGGAAAGAAAAGCCCAGCCAAATGTATCAAAACTAGTGAAACCGTAATCAGGATTTGGCCCAATTTTCAAGCATATGTAGTCTGGAGGACAGATCCTAGAAGTAATAATAAACAGTGGAGCTATTTTAACCGTGCAGATTTCAATGAAAACTTCAGTTTATGTGAGAGTTCTGATTATTGTTCAGATCTGTGTTTTATTAGATTGCAAGCCAATTTCCTACTCCAGGTAGTATTGGCTGGAAAGAGGGATGGCAGAAGCAGTACCCACAACCCAGCAACAAAGGAAGACGACAGGCTGGAGCAGACCACCAACCCAGGACAACTCTCTCATCACCAATCCTCATCCCCTGCCCCTCGGTGCAAAGCAGCCACGTCTCCCTCCTTGCCCAAACCTGCCTTCCAAAATCCATGGTTTGTTTTCCCAGTTTAACGCTCATTAGCCTTTACAGAGAGGAGTGTGCCTGTCCTGTGCTGCATCTGAGATCCTTCATGTTTTCAGTTCTCTCGTACATCCGTGGGGAAGAGAAAGACAGCACTTCTGGAAGGGTTCAGAGGAATTTAGACCTGAATAAACCAACCGCAGGTTCATGCTTCATTCTCTACAAGTATTAAATTATCTGACTGTTTACTATATTTTGTTGTCTGTGTTCCTGTTTCTGCATTCAAGGAGAGCCTGGAATTTCTGCTTTTGTCTCACATGACTGAGCAAATACAGAAGCACTGAGGCAGAGAAAACTTCCAAAGAAGGAATATTCTTAAGTGCACTTACCCAGCACCAGGACCACATAGCAAAATATCTGGGGTGCCCGTTTTCTTAGCAAAGTGTGCTATAAAAAAAGGGGAAGAAAATTTAAAAACTAAGCACTTTTTAGCCTGAATCCTCTGTCCTTTAATGTAAGCAGTGATGAGTAATCAGTGACCTGTAAGGGTACATGCACACACATAGGTTTCCTACGCTCACAGTAACTGCACCAGATTGCAAGATGTCCTGTCCTCATTCATGAACATACATATGTGTATGCACAAATTTCAGACTGAAGGCAGTCCTTAAAGCAGAATTTTAAAAAATGTTGTCATTTTGGCCACATCTGCATAAAAGAAATCAAGAATTGGAGGGCACAGGCTCAAGCACTGTCCCTGGTTTGGTAATCATTAGCACAAACTCCAGCACGGTTTTGGCCTGAAGCAATTAGCCTTCTCCAGGACGGCATACAAACATCATTTGGGGTAGCACAGGCCAGTTCTGTTTCCAATAAGCAATAAAACGAGAATTCTATTTTGAGGACAAAGAAAGAGTATTTGGCAGTTGGATATGCACCATGCCATGTCACTGCTCTGCTGAGCCAGACAGCAGGTCCTAACCCTGCTTAGTTGAGAAATACAGATTTGTCCGTTAGGATGCTGGAGCTGTGCCCTTTGCCCTTGCTGACCTCTGTCCCTATTTCTCCTAGCATGAGTTACTCTGACGCCTGAGCTAGCAGCAGACTGAAAGTAATAGCTTTAGTGCTAATAGTTAATTAGCCCCATTAAGATGTGAGTTTATTATCCCAGATGTGAGGGAGGTCTCATGTCTTCCTGGTGCTTCTCAAACCTCAGCTGTGCTCATCAGGTAAGTCAGCATGATTCAGAACCAGCAATATCAGCTGTACCGTACCATGTAAATACACCATAAAAGAATGAGTCACTATCTGGGCTACTTTCCAACCAAATTTTGTTCAGCTCTGCTCCTGCCAATTGACAAAAAGAGTTTTTAAGAAGATTCAGTGATTGAGCTTCATAACATGTAGTTCTCCATGTTGGAGATGGGAACTTCACATGAAGTCAGGACCAAAGCAGCCTGTAAAAAATATACAAATAAACCCATTTAATAGAAAACTGGGCTTCCAGTGTATAAGTCCTAAATCATGTAGGAAAGTCACCTAGCTTTCACTAAACATGTCTGGGCCCTCCTATTCCTTTTGCCATCATTGCAAATCACCCTGCACACAAGATGTATGGCATAGGATGTGAACAAGACAAAGCTTGTGAAGCAACACAGATTTTCAATTTCTTGAGCCCTACTTTCTCTAGGCCATTACCTTTATACAGCTGCAATGTTCCGCATTAAAAAAAACCCCAAATTTAGATGGTTTTGTTTCCTGTATCTTCAGCACAGAAGATTAGTATTTTTAGCCAAAGTTTGTCATATCCATGATCTCTTGTGTGCTACTCTAGTCACTGCCTGGTTTCTTTTGAAGTTTGCTTTCAATTATGATTTTTACAACATTCTATATATGTAAATGACTTTGTTCTTATGTGTGGTTTTTTGGTAGGTACAAGAGTTGCTTGCAAAAAGTTTTTCTCAAAAATCTTTTACATAAAGACTTTCTATGAAGTTATTAAAGAAATCCTGGCTGGACAAATCTCCCACATGAAGTGTATACAAACAGCAATCCTGTGTGGCTTTTCTATGTATTTCAACATTTCCCCTGGGAGAATGCTTTTCTCCCTATACAACTGCTGCTATGTCTGAACTCGCTGGTGGAGATTTTCTTCAGTGATGAGGCTTTCTTCATATTTCTGGCATAGACATTGTTTACTTCGAGTGTATTTTTTCATGTATATTGAGACTTTTCCTTTAGCACAAGGCTTTCCTTTCAGAATTGCATCTTACAGTTGCTGTTCCTCTGAGAATGCTTTGGTGCATTTTCAGATCTCTGCTTTATGCTTCCATCACCAGCCAGTAAAGACGTATACATGAAAGATGTATATTATAAATATAGAATCATAGAATCATTAAGG